GAATCTGCATGGTCTCCTGGAGTTCCTTGGGCTAGGCCTGACAGGTATGTCCAGTCCTTGAAAAGCAAAGAGCTCTCACAGTCTGTCAACCATGGTTGGCAAAATGGCTGATCCCAGCCCACTGTGGTTTACTGAGGAAATCACAATCAACAAATCTTGGCTGACAAATTTTAACTAGGCTATTCCCCACTAATGTTTTATAGCATCATCCAGCCACCGTTGAGGTGACACCAAGCCAGTTCTCATACCTGTTGTTTTAGCACAGCTATGGCTCCAGAAGCTGCTTTCAATCAATAATGGAGAGCATAATAAACCAAGATACCCCAGGAATTGTGTAATTCTGCGAAGGCAGAAAGCTGCAAACAATCTTTTCAGTTATCTCTCCTACTCTCACAATATTATCACTACATTTATTTGGAGAAAGTGAAAGTATGTCAAACCAACGTGAGGCCAGTTTTAATGTGTATCTTAGATGCGCCCTAAGAATCTCATGCTTCATTGCTCATAGTCTCAACCAGAGGTTTAAATTGGTCTGAGCAGCTTCTGAACTTCATTTTCAAATCCCCGGCAAACAAAATAATGTGCCATTAGAGGGGGGGTGGAATATCCCACTTCCTGCTTCTTGCAACATGCTCCCAAGGATAACTACAAATTCAGAGAAATGTCAATGTGCTTTGGTTTCTGAAAACAGCCACCATGTAGCCTGGTAACTCTCTGGAACTGCCAACCACCAACTAAATTGCAAGGAATAAACAGGGAATTATTTGGCAGATTGTCCTGTGGGGAACTCAATGTATTCCTTAAGGTTTGACAGACCATAAGAATAATAAATCTCACTTCAGAAACTCTGTTCAAAAGAAAACAGAAAGGAATAGTAACTGGACTGGCCAGTACTTTTATGAAAAGATTCCTTAAATTGCATAAAATATCTAAAAACAAAACAAAACTATTCATCCCATTAAAACCTATGAATTGAAACCAATTTATCATCGATAAACCAGTCTTCCATAAGTTACTGCTCTCAAGAGGCAGCGCACCACAAAAAATGCAGTTAACAGATAGTGATCTGAGGTTAGATTTATCATGAACACTAAATAAACTTGATGTGATCACCGACCCAAAGTGTAAGAGCTTTAAAAAGTTGCTGTCTCTGATCACCTGGCGGCTAAAGTTTTGGATCAGAGAATCAAGTTCTAGCCCATTCTCAGCCATAGTAACTCACTTTCTCTCAGCCCAACCTATCATGTAGGGTTGTTGTTTTTGGGGGGGGGGGGCAAAACAGGAAAAGGGAATGCTATATATGTCATGGGTATAAATCTAATCAACACATAAATAAATGACATCTGCAATGATGGAGGGTGGGAACAAACACCCCCACACCTCACTGTCCTCATAACTACCTAAACTTTGGGGGCAAACCTTGGAAAATTAAGATTCTAAAAGATGCAGCAACTATTTCCTTCTAACACAAGGAAGGTAATGAAGATGGGAGTAGTGGTAGCTCACCTGACTCCACTGTCCATCTTTTTGTGCGCCATTTAAATGAACTCTGATGTTATTTTAGAAAGTTCCATGATTTAAAAAAAGACTTAGACTTGCACATCACACTAAGCCAAGACTTACTTTATGGTTTGTTGAATGAACCATAACTGACAGCTCATATAACATACAAAGCCATTAGCTGTGATTTACAAATTACAATGTCTAGGTTTATACGTCTCGCCCAAATATGATATGCATCTGAGTTTAACTGATAGGAATGCTTCCCCAAATGGAGGCCTATATTTTAACCAGGGTTAGGAGAACAGGAACGACCCACAGGCTTGCATTCTTTTTTCCCCATCTCTTGTTATTTTTGAGTGCAAATCAGGCCAAATCCCTAATATTTGGATTTATCTATGATACAGATGTATGCCTGCACCTATCTCAGTGCTTGATCATTCTAATTTAACTCTGTCCATGCTTAACTTTATCTAATATTGTGATATAGTTAACTCTGATGGAGAAAGGAAGAAATCTACACATGAAATTTCTAAAGTAGGTTCCCCACTTCAGAAATAATATCACTACAGAAGATAGGAGCATGAGAAACACTACAATTTTGAGGACTATAAAGCAGACGTCTATTTTCTACAGATCTATTATTCTGTTTTTGCTGAGAGAAATCCATACAAATTTGCCTTGTTCAGAAAATGATATTCAGCACATACTGAATGTCAGATTCAACACTCATTGCATTTTGCAGTTTCTATCCCACCCTCAATTTCTATTTGTGTCTTCTTTAGTTGCAGTCTTCAGGCCAAGGAACTCACAGTTCCTTTCTGGAAGTACATGAGAAAGAATTATCATAGGCAGGAGGGATCTATTTAATTTTAAAATGCAACTCCTTCTGAACAATTTGTTATAGCCATATCTGTAGATGTAGCTAATTAGCCACAATAAAAAGCTGGATGTTACTGTATTCTCCAAAAGCAAATGTAGTCATCCTATGTGATGGGACACTTTGGCAGTTGAGACACATACCTAGCAAGTCCCCAATTTTCAATCCAGTTTCCAGCACAATAAATTGCATGCTAGCTGTGCCAAATCTATCAATTTTCTACCCACTGCTTGACAGATCTTGGGTCAACTCACTTCTATTTTTATGGATATTTCTGGCTGATACCTTTTCAAATTAAGAGTGAGTTACTGGGTTATTTTGCTCAAAAAGGTTTCTGCATATCAAACATGTGCACATCCACACAGATTTGTGCTCATCTCTATTTCTGATATTGCATTTGTAATGCAGGTTTATATTGTATAACCCTTAAAGCAGATCCAGCCAAAAGAAAGGAAAAACTAACCAAGTGGGAAGATTTTATGGCTTCCTCTCCTTTTATTAAAGATGAGATGAATTCATGGCTCCAAACATGGAACTAAAAGCAGACAATCATACTCCAAACAGTTGTCTGCAAAAAGTTTGTTAATGATCAAAAACATAAAAGGTTACAAATTCCAGGCTCATGGTTTTCCCCCTATTTTTCTAGCTTAACTAACTGGCATGTGTAAAAAAGAAAGGTTAATTTATAATGTATAACATCAATCACCAATTGCAAAATCCAATTTAACTCAGTTCTTGCCAATTTTTTTTTCCTGAAGCCTTTTATTTCACCACTGTCTCAGAGCACATTCTGGATTTGGAGGAAAAGCAATCACTGGAAAATCACAATGTATTAAAAGATAGAGTCATTCCTAAGCTCTGTCCAAAATAAATCCAGTCCATTTTATTTCCTATCATAAGGAACGAGAGATTTTCCAAAAGATATTTAGCTCTCACTACATAGGAAAAGAAGAATTGATCAAGATATTCTGGGGGGTTGGGGGTTTTTTCCCCCCTGTACTAAAGTATGATTTGTTGAATAGGCCACAATAGGAGTCATACATCACACCATGCCATAAATTATGTGACCACAATGACTGGATATATACATCACACTAAGCTAAATCCAAGCAAACCACCTTTTGGCTTAGTGCAATCCAGTCCATAACAGATACCTTTTTTCAAAGTAGCAAACTAGTTTTACCTCTCAATACTCAAGAGATTGGGGTGGGGGGTGGGGGGGAAATCAGTTCACTTCAGTGTTGCTCTCTTCAACTTCTAACTCTCAGGGAAGGCAATAAAAATGCACTTTTAAAAAAACCAGGAAATCCAAGAAAGTCCATTCCAGATTTTTTTTCCTTATTATTTAGTCTAGATAGGCACCGATCTTCCTTAATTGATCTATTGGGTATCTTGCATTACTAAGTACATTTAAGCCATAAAAAGATGCAGCTTCTGAAGCCTTTTAAGCTGAAATCTGAAATTCCACCCAACCGTGTCCCCCACTCTAGATGAAATGGTACAAACTGAACCTTATGTCTAAATAACAGAATCTAGAAATCAAAGGCCATTTCCCCAGTGGGGACTTATAGCATCTTCACAGCATCACCCGGTCATCACTTAAGCGATACAAAGCCTGAATCATTACTATTATTTAAAAATGAAGATTGGATGACTTCAGAAGATGCTATAAGTTGCAAGTGAAGAAAGGACCTTAGAATAGTCAAGATGGAGAGTTTGCATGTTTATTTATCTTATTTAGTGGCGTGCAATGTATAAAACATAGTTATCTTCAAGAACAATAAAACCAAGACAAAATATTAAAATGAAATGCAATTGGTGCAAAAAAAGCAGCAAGACATAGGGATAATTTTTACTCCCCAACGTTCTCTAGAGAGGTTTGGAGAAAGCAGTCCTAGAAGTTTATTTATTTTTCAAGAGAGGAAGAGCAAGGTTCACATTTCCATTTAGTCAACATGCATAGCAGTTTCACAGATCAGCCTACCTCAGAGGCTGATAAGGCTAAAATGAGGTTATGCTATATCAGACTTAAGTTAATTGAGGAGAAGATGGAGTACCAATGATTACTCCTTTGTTAATACATTATCAGAAAAGGACATTCAAAAAGCAAAAGAGAGGACCCTGATAATGAAATTTATTATGCATGGTGTGGTCCAAGGAGATCAAGATGGCAACAGAAATGAGGAGAAAGAGGAGGAGGAGAAGAGGAACAGGAAGAGAATGAATACAACCAAAGCAGGGACTTAGAGTTAGACTGCAGTTCCCCGATGATAAAGCATCGGCTGGTAGGTTTTGCATCATGAGTTGAATGGAGAGGATTTCAGGCACAACTGAAAAAGCCTGCAGCTGTTTAGTACACAGTTCTTCAGTTAGTGGGCTGGGACTCGCTTCACAGCCTGTGGAATTCAAAACAGCAGCGTTCATGCCAGAGCAAGGAAATAACTGATTCAAGACAGACAACTGGCCCCATTGAACAGGTGGTGCAACACTCCATACATTTGTACATAAATGGATAGAATGAAAGAAAACATATCCTTTAAAATCTGGAAATGTATAGCTTTTTTTAAACCCAGCCATCCAAATCTTGCTTAAACAGCAGGTACTGATATTGCCTTTGAAGGAGGTTCAAGCCCAGCCTTTGACAGACTGGAACAGTTGGATAGCAACTACCAAAAGTAACTCTCAGTATCAGCCTTCCCCAACCCAGTGCCTCCAGATGTTCTGGGAATTACACTCCCAACACATCTGGAAAGCCCCAAATAGAGGAAAGTTGTCCTCTATTTTTCATTGTATTGGGACAGAAATTACAGGAATAATACAGTTAAGCCATAATTTATATTTACGTGAAAAAGACAGCATGCTAAATGTACTGAGTGCCACAACTATAATTAATAAGGGGAATATTACAGTGAAATCTATCACAAGTAATAGCACAGATAAGGAAAAATCAATATGCTCCCTTACCTTCATAGCAAGGTATTAACTTTTTACCATTCGACCCAAGGTTGGGAGGGATGATGTTGCAAAAGCCATGAGGAAGGATGTACTCAGTTTCATAGTAGACATTTTTCCAACGATGTGCACAGGCCTAAAGAAAAGGAGGAAACACTTTTAAAAAGTCATCAGTGGGTAGAATTTTTTTTCCAGAAAGTAGTAGGACAAATGTCCAGCTAAGGGTAACATCTGCACAGATTAAGCTGATCTTGAAATGCTAAGCAAAGTTAGACTTGGTTACCTCTTGAATGTCAACAACCAGGAAATCCCAACGTTCAATAATAAACTGGAAAGTTGAAACCAATCCTAGAAGACGGCAATGGCAAACCACTTGCATATTGCTGCCAAAAGAACCCTACATGGATGTGCCCATGAAGTCAGCAGGAGTTGAGCTAGACTCAGAAGAAAATTTATGCAAGCCAGTCACTATGCTTCCTTTATACCATGATTGGGCAAACTTTTTCTCAGATGGGGGCTGAATGGCAGAAGGATTATGAGTAGGGCCATAGCCAAAAGTACATGCAAACTTTCCTCCTCCCTCTCTAACCCTCTAATCCTAACCCTACAGTGCAAAAAGTGTAAAAAAAAAAAAAAAAGGATCTCTCCTATCAGAAACCAGAATCCTTGTTCCACAGTTTGCCCACTCCTACAACTATAGGCCATGGGTTTCAGGTTCACTTCTTTCAAGCATGCTCCATTCAACAATATAAACGTAATTACATTTGCTGATCTGAGATTAATCGTGCAATCCTCCTGATACCCTTAGTCCTATATAAAGAACTTTTATGGCAGAACATGGAATAGTCCTACAAAGCATGTTTATAATAGTCCTCTCCTTTGATACCTAAGCAAGCTCACAAGAAACTGAACTTGGTTTTTTGCTCTTTTAAGCAGCCCCCAGTTAGGGTTTTTAATTTCATTTTTAATTCCATACATTTGCTATATTCCATTTTTTTAAAAAACAATCATGAAATATTTATATTTGAAATGTTCAGGAAACAGCTTCTTTTCTGAAGTATTTCCACTATGAATACAAAATACAGGCAAACATTCTACTTGAAGAGGGTATTCCATAGGCAGCGTATAACATTAAGGCCAAAGTTCTACAAGTCTCTAGAGGAAACTGGAAAAGCAAACTTACTGCAAGAAAGAAGGAATTTTTAATACAAGGAAAATATACAACCATATAAAGCAATAAAAAGTTCCTTTACGCAAGGCAAAGTAAATAAAGCTTCCCAGTTTAATAATTCCTAAAATGTTTACTTGTTTCTACATCAGGAGAAAATGCCAGTCATCTCCACCAATAACCTAACTTAAATACTGATGAAGAAGGACATCCATGGCATACAAACCATAAGGGTGGGGTTGATACAGCACATTAAGCCAAAACCAAACAAACACATTGTGCCTGAAGAATGTGTGAATGCTGTTAGTGAACCAGTTCACTAATTAAATAGGTTTCAGATTCCAGGATAGGAGGAAACATGGCTAATATTTAATGAACAAGCCTACATTGATTAATCTCAGCAACAGGATTTCATATATTTCAAGGCCATTCATTAGGTTTTCGCACACAGTACAACATGTCATAATTTGGTTTGTTCGATTTTGACTTCGTATACTGAACCCTGCCATTATGATCTGCAAATCACAGTTTATGGGTTAGGGTTATTATGTATGGATTCAGTTTGTGTTTATTCAATATATCACGTTTAAACAAGCCATTGTTTAGGGAACTACATGACCAAGGCCACAATGTAAAATACAGTCATACAGATAAGGAAGTTATCCTGAAGCCTCCATGATAGGTATCCTCCTACATTCATTAGGTTCTGTTACAACCCACGATGTCAAAATGATGACGTGCTCATGACATAATCATGCAAGTGATGCAATTATAGCGATGCCCATTGGAAGGATATAAGTTGCATCATTTGTGATGACATCATGATACAGATACATTTGCTCCCTGCCCTCAGCAAATGCTCTTGCCTGCAATCCTACTCCAATGTACCTGAGAACATGGTACAGAAACAAATGGGATTGCACTTTCAGTCATTGTTTAATTGATTTAGAAGGTAGTGGTGGCAGAGGGAAAAAACAAACTTAATGATAAATAGAACAAGTGCATGACGTAGCAAAATTAAAAGACAGGTGGCTCTTCTCCAAGTTCTAATGACTGTCCCCAGTTAGCACTTTTCCAGCATTAGCATTGGCAGAACTTTTCCTCTGTTATTGGAACACTTAAATTAATGCAAACACCAATTCTCATGTTGATACTTTAAAATCCAAGTGACTTACCAAAATTATATTTGAAACATATGCTGTCGGCAATTTATCAATCTCTGGCCTTCCATTTAGCCTTCTATCCCAAGCTGACATTTAACAGATACATGATTTAATATGGCATTAGCACCTGGTGATTTTTTTTTTGGTTGATTTAGCCAGTCATGTTTTAGATAAAACATGTCAATGAAAGAAACAATGTTTCATCATGAACAAAATTAATTTCCTTAAACACAGTGTTAAAATTACACCATTTGCTGTCTAAGTGTTCTTGACAGAACTCAACTGTTTCAGCAGGGTTGAAATGCCATCCAAAAAACTAACTTAATCTTAATCTATACATATCAGAGCTAGCCATGGTTTTCATCAGGTAGAGCAGCTACCTGAAGTTACCTCTTGTTACTTTAAAACAACATACTCTGCATGAAGACCCTTTTGGGCTGAAACTGCCCTTGTGTGATGTCCCCAAATTCACATTTTCTGAGGGAGAAGATACACATGGGTAGAATGACTGAAGGGTCTGGCAAGATAAATAAATAAATAAGGAAGTGCTTTTAAAGAGGTTTTGAGATATTGCCAGAAGTATTCCAAAAGCTTTACTTCAGATAATTGCAACTCAGCTTTCCTTAATAACTACTGAAACCTAGGTCATGCTAGGTCATACTACTCATGTGTGACAAAGCATGTTGAAAAAGACTGCAGTCATCAGAATGTGTGGTTCTGGTAATAGAAAAATCCTCATTACTGCAATATGTTTCTGCATGTTTGCAAGGGGCCATACAAGGCAACTGTAAGGGGAAAATCTTTTTATTAGAGAATGTTCATCTGGTCTGTAATAAACCATCTTCAGCAAAGTACTTGGCTATATAAAGGCTGTTCAGTTGTGATTTTTCCTGGGTGAAATCTATTAAATGAATTTAGATTGTATTTGAGGGTGCAAATTGTCTTGGTTCTCTCAGCAGGGACTGAGCTCCTTTTGGTTCTCATGGACCTCTAAAGAGCTTTCAATGCCATCAACCATGGTATTCTTTGTTGACATCTTTCAAGGATGCAGCTTGGGGACATGATGGTTAAATCCTATCTAAAAGGCCAGCTTCAGAAAGCTACTGACTTTCAGTGTTCATCAAAGTTTTGTTTGGCCTCCCATATATTTCATGTATACTTGAAATAATATGGGAAGCCATTCAAGAGTTTAAGCTTGATATCTTCAATATATGATTGGAACCTGACTCTATCTCTTCTTTCTACCACATTCCACTGAAATTGTTGAAGTCCTGAATAATTGCCTGGAGGTAGTAATAAAATCAGTGGGTATAATAAATTGAAAGTGATCCAGATGAGACAAGCCATTCACGATCCAGCATTGGCAATCATGCTATTCTTCTGCAGAACTATAATTCTCAGCCACTGGCCATCATGAAGAATGCACTTCATCATTGAAAAAGTCAACTCACACTAACCTCAGTGCTTACTTACTAATTACAGGAAGACCTCCAATAAAAAATATGTGTAGGAATATCAATATTCACTTATTTAATTTTTACCTTAAGTGTAAAGCAAGATATATCATAAAATTATGACACATGACCTGACATATTTACTAAGTCTACGTACATGCATAACATCTACGCATGCTTGCTAATTTCATATTTTTAAAAGAAGGAAATAAAGAGAAGAGACTTATTCACAGGAACACAATATGACATTCATTCTGTTCCAAGTGCTAAATCTACCGCCACTTTGAAAAGGAAGCCCTCAGGGGTAACAGAAGCAGGTGTAGGCGCTTTGCAGCTGTCTTTCTAGATGCAAACTTTGTCCTCAGGATCCAATTTACCTTCCTCTCAAAGGAAGCACTTAGAGAATTAGCTGAATTCTCACCAGTCACTGGTAAAACATACCTGTTCACACACATTTTATGTCAATGACAATATGACACTTCCCACTTGAATGAGATCAAGGGAAAACAACTTACCAGTATACTTCCTCCAACCATAGGCTGTCTTGCCAGACTGACACCCATCCATTCATCATCTCTATCTTCTTTACATGTCTTTCCACAGAATGTTCCTCGAACATTAGCTAAAACAAATGCAGGAAGAAGGGTGGGAACTTACAAAGGATAAAGATGGTGGTAAAGTTTTGTATCTCTGCAGGAAATAGCACTATAGAAAACTGACCATTATTTTTTCCATCTGGTGGATTCAGAATGAATTCATGTTAGCATAATACACTTCTCAATAAAGAGAATACTTCATTGAAACAAGTTTATCAAGATCAACAGACAATGCTTTGTCATTCCTGCTATTAGACATTCCATGGAAAACCTGTATGAAATCATTATTAAGACATTGGCTAAGGAGAGTTACTTTCTAACACATTTCAGTGGGAATTATATAAGAAAAGAAAGGATCTACTGGCCAATCTCTCTTAGCCAGGCACAGTCATTTTTGGCAAACTCCACCAGCTATGATTCACAGATACCCAGGAATACTAGGTTGCATTAACACAGAGGATAGCAGGAAGCATGGAGAGCAGATTGTTCCAGGAATGGCAGGTCTAACTTTTTTCCCATCATCAACTTCAGAGAGCTATTAGATCAAAGCACCAAGAGCACTTTTGGTTCATGGAGGAGAGGAGAAAAGGTGTGGGACTGGGAAAATACCTACATCTGATGCAGAAATGTCCATTTTCAGATCACTTTGGTTCTTCAACCTAACAGAAAATAGAAGCAGCAAGAAAGGACCATATTCTGTCCAATGGAATGAATCACTGATTCTAACATCCTCCCATACTATATCATTTCTGGTTTAAGAAGGCCATTTCTTGCACATCAACTTGCACGTAAGTAGGTGAAGCACAGTTAGAAGAGATTTTATGTGCAAGGTGGCTCTATAGTTCTTGGGAAGAAAAAATGTGTTCAAAACAAAGAAAGTTAATTGTGTGTTTATGTACATGTGAAAGGGTTGTACTCATGCATACCTCGACCCATATCCAGCTCTGTGCACCTCCTATCAGGGTTAGTGTGAACCCGACATTTGAATACAGCTCCTGGGGACTTAAGAGAAGCACTGTACTTAGAGTCTGCCTTTGGGGCGCCAACCAAGACCCTGGAAATCAAGAGCAAATAAATACTTTAATTAACATCAGGAGAAGCAAATACACAAATTTCACAGTGACAGCTTTTTTTTGTCTCTTGTTTTCCCACCAGCCATGTGAATCAGCAATCACCCACAGCTGCAAGGCAAGACAAGACATTTCCTTCAGTAAATCCATGAATTATTTGAAGGAGTGGAAGAACCTAAGAATAACGGCATGCTGGAAATGTTTCTGAGTAATATCATGTTCTCAATCTCATCCCCCCAAAGAAGCTGCTAGGAAAGAACAAGAACACAACAGTTACAGTACAGTTCTGGTCTTTTGATATGGTGAAGAGGCCATATCTTCTTATTAGCTAAAGCGAAAAAGGAAATCTCAGTTGCTTGCCCCTGGATCCAGAGAGCTGAAGGCATCAAATTCTGACCTTACTCATCAGCCAAGAGATTCTAATTGCTGTTAACACAATTAACAAGAACACAATTGAGAGAATCATTGTAGCCTGAACTGAATAGGAGTGCTGATTTGGTTCCCACATTAAGATACATTTGGTTTCAGCTTATTACAATATATGAACCCAGTCATTTTAGTTCTAAGTTTATAACTTAGTGTTATCTATGAACTATTGTTGTTCATTCAACAAACAATGGTGATGATATGAGCTATGTCCATGCCATATATTCTGAGAATCTCTAACAAACATAAGAATTCTACCCTTCAGAAAAGTCCATGCTTCTTCCATTTATACAAAATTGATTTTTGGAATAAACATACTAATACAGGATCTATATTCCCTTTCTCCCACCCATCCCCAACCCATCCTGCATGGTTCTCCTCAGGTCTGCAGCATAGTTGCTAAAGGAAAAGAAGAGGTACCCTTAAAACAGGGCTGGGCAACATTTGGGGTACAGCCTCCACACCTTCCTGAAAACCATGGGACACTATCCAGTAGCACTATGGTGTCACTAGAAGGGTCAGAGGTGAGTTTTTTCACCATTTTTTAAGGAAAATTATGGTGGGAATGGGTACAGGTGGCCCCTCACCCCCATTCTTAAAACTCCTAAAGCACCAGAATGCCCCCAGATTACATCATTTTGATGTCACAATTTGAGAATGCTGGCGACTAGAAATGGTCCACTCCTATTTTAAGGGTACAATATGTAATTAATTTACAGTGCCAATTACATCTTCTTTATTATCTTTGTATATTAACATGATTGTTTTTCTCTTTAGAGAAAAGATAGACAGACACATATACACACACATACACATATGTACACCTAGAAAAATAACCTGACACGAATGTTCTTGCTGCTGTTTTGGCTCTAGCTGACTTCACTGAGGCCAGAAAAACTACACACTGAAACTTAAAACAAACGTTAGAGGAGCGGGGGGAGCTACATTAACAGTTTGATTTCTCCTGAGTTTCAGAGGCTAAACCATTAAAGCATATGATTTTGACAAGGGTTACCTTCTAACTAACAATATTTTTACAAGTGAGAATAATTAACAGTCCAGATACCCAAATTACAGAAAACTACAAAGCCAACAAACATTGAGAAGTGAGCACAAGGGAACTTGAAATAGCAGTTTTAAGAACAGATGCCAATGTGCTGCTACCAAGTTCTGATCAAAACGGCAAGTAGCTCGCCTACATGTATGTATGACAATATATCATTCATTTAACTGACTGACTCCCTGAACGCTGAAACAGTTAGCCATGAAAAGAATAATGCCAATTTACAGAACCCAAATTAAAATTAAAAGCAGTTGGTAAGGAAAGCTTTTCTACATTATAAAATGGAATAAACTGGCATGTGCGGTTATATTTTAGCGTTTGATGAATTCATTTCCACATTTCATCAGGGCAAAAAAAAGAAAATCAAAATCCCAAGAATTTCTTGCTGGGCCAATCAGGAAGAAAACAGACATGAACCACCAGAGTGAAAAGAAAAAGACAGATTCATTAATGAATATCTTATGCATACTGCTGGAGAATATGCATAATTACAATATATGTGTAGGCTAAATTATTGTTATTATTATTGGCATTATAAATCATATTTGCCTCTCATCCTTTCTCAGGAGCTTTAGATGTTTAGAAGTAGCCTTTTCATCTTAAGAAGTAGAAAACATTATGACAATCCCAAGATCAAGTTGATTCTATTTGAACTGTGATAAGAGTAGGTATTGCAAAATCATTTTGTGAGGCTTGCAACAAAAGCTTTAGTAAGTAGCAGCTGTATTCAGAATGGGGCAGGAAACATTCTTCCTTTGCCCTCTTCCTTGCCTAGAACCTGCTTCCCTTGGTTTATTATTCATTTGGTTTTCAGACAGATCTTTTTCTTCAAATACTGTGATTTACAATTATATTTTTCCTTTGTTGAATTACTAATCTTTAGCTGGATTATACTTTCAAAAACAAACAAACAAAAACAACAAAAAAAGAGAGAGTATGTTCCAGAATAATGCATACAATAAAATCCAACCTGAAAAGGCAGAGGAAGAACACAAAATACAAGGCATTCACATTCTCCTTATAAAACTCCAAATTTTAAAATATAAAATGCAAAAATGTTCTTTGAATATTTTGTCTAAAAAACATAAGACTACAGTCAAGAATAAATCTGTTGGAGTACTTTAAAATTGTATTTTAAAACTTCAAGACTGGCATCGCACATCCCCCCAAAACATCAAACAGATGCCAAAGAGATCTTTCTGAGAGGGCTATTCTCTAAGTGAGGTGTCAAAATTTCAAAGTCCTAACACATAGAAAAGGACCTCAGATGATTATTCTAAAGTCCAAGTAGGTATCAGCACAGCTCTTTAACAAGCAGAAAATAACTAATTGGACCATTTACATCCTATTTCCCCTTTGCCTTGCGAAGCAGGAATCCTAGTAAGGCTTCTCAGTCTTTGACAGTCAAGTTTTGTTCAGTTCTTCTTTATCATCACAATCATTTTTCCTCCTGTTTATAGGAGGGCAGCCATATCTCTTCTTAAGATAGAGACATCACGGTACCAGACACTCTGTACTTAAATTACTGCTCCATCCATCAAGAAGAGAAAATGTCTATACTGCATTATTATCTTTGCCATCAGAAATGCACGTACTTGGGTTTTTTAAGTACTTGTTGAAAACTTTGTTCTTCTTAAATGAGAGAGTCATGTAAACATTCAAAACAAGAAAATTAAAGATTCAAAAACATCAAAACTTTTATCCAAAAGGGAACCAAGCTAAGGATCAAATACATGTATAATATATATTGTTTCCAGAAATACGTATGTGTGGCAGGGATGGGAGGGGAAAAATTCCCCTTCTTGCCACTTTGTCAACCATGCATCTGAGGTCATTTCTACACCATTATGTCATATCTTTTTTATAGCCTGGCTGCTCGCCCAAGCCTTGGACCTGGATGTTAGGTGACCCTAGTTTCTATGATTGGTGTATTGGACTCAGACCTCAACATAATTGTATTGTACTGATTATTGTTATAGTTATTTATCTGTGCTATTGTTGATGTTAAATTGTCAACAGCCACCCAAAGTCACATGTGAGATGAGAGGCCATATATTCTAAATAAATAAATAGCATCTTATCTCATAATGGCTTTGCCTCAAGAATCCTAGGAACTGTTGTTTGATGAAAGCATTGCTCTGAAACTGGAAACTCTTAGACCCTTCTCTTTTGAAGAGTGAAAATAGTTATTAACCTGGTTTAAACCAATTGTAGAGAGTCACAGATCTATGCCACATGAAATATGGTGAGACTAACACTTATAAAATAACTTTCAGGCTGGACACAAATAATTGCAACTTCTGTTTCAAATTATGCAATTCATCTAAGAGCTTTTGCTTCAGGGATCAGTCCTATCATTGGACAAAGGGAGCAGTTTCAGTCAGCAGAATTGGGGAGTCATGAAGAAGGAGTAAACACCTGTTTATTTAATTGTTCCAGGACCCAACTGCTTCTCAAATTGCTTTTTAAAACATATCTTCTAAATTTTTTACTCTTCTGTTGTTAGGATTGTTGGTTTAATTGTTGTTGATCCTATTTAGGATTGCTTTTTAAAACATTCTGGACCCTTCAGGAGGAAGAGCGGAATAGAAATAACATTAACAATAGCAATAACGTATTATGTGTGTCTGCCAGACAAGGGAGAAGCACTTGTTAGAGTAGCTTTCTCAGCTGCCAAAATAACTTGATTGGCTTAAAGTAGCATTTCTCCAAATGCTGATTGTTACCTAAAAGGGGTGGAAGTTGTAAGACATAAATGGAGGGTTGCCAGGAGAATGACCAGTTTGATGCAAAACTATATTGAATGCAAAGCAAGGTAATGATTCCAAAGTTGTGTACGAGGTCGGAGTGCTATTTTGGTATGTTTGTTTTATACAATATGTTTGCCTTTCAAAGGATAAGTAATCATGCCTAGAGGCACAAGGCTTCTATGCAAAGCTCTGGCCATCAGACCTGGCCTTCATTATGCAGAGGGAATTAGGACAGACAAGAAAGGGGGAAGGGGGATAGATTGCAGTAAAGAGAAAACTGCAAATATGGATTTACAGGTACCAACCACCAGAGTGAAAAAGAAAGTAATCTGCAAGTTACAGCCTGCCAGTGTTTTCCAAGTTACAGCAGTTTAAACACAGTGTAAGAGAAGGTGATTTAAGTCAAGGAAAGACCTTTTTATTTTATTTTTTTCCTGAGTTTGGTGAATGAGAATGGCTTCAAGATTAAACCCAGTTTTCAAGAATGATGCAAAAGAAATAAGATCAACCTTCCATTACAAACACAGGGTTTGGAGATTGTTGTTTTGGTGGTGTTGTAGGGAGGTTTTGTGTTTTTGTTTTATTTTTTGCTTATTTCCAATGAAATGATTTGGTTTTATTAAAATTTAATTATTTAAAGTAGTACATTTATTTCTTACCCAACCCTAATCCCAAAGGTGACAATTAGTTTCAGGCACAGGATGGATCACACAAATTCATTTTATTGTTTAAGGGGTCACAGTAT